GCCCAGGGCAAGGGGGGTGCCCAGGGTAGGGGGTGCCCAGGGCAAGGGGTGCCCAGGGCAGGGGGGGTGTCCAGGAGGGGGAGTGTCCAGGGCAGGGAGGGTGCCCAGGGCAAGGGGTGCCCAGGGAAGGGGGTGCCCAGGGCAGGAGGTGCCCAGGGCAGGAGGTGCCCAGGGCAGGGAGGGTGCCCAGGGCAGGGGGAGTGTCCAGGGCAGGGGGTGCCCAGGGGAGGGGGGGGCCAGGGCGGGGGGGGGGCGCGGGGGGGGGGGGGGGCCGGGGGCGGGGGGGGTGCCCAGGGCAGGACTCACCGTTGTCCAGGTACTGGACGGTGGAGTTGCGGGAGTAGCTGGGGTTGAAGTTGGCCATGAGGGGGGCGATGTACTGGGTGGCCGTGAGCATGCGGTGGATCACGTCCCCCACGAAGATAAAACCTGAGCGGGCAGAGGGTGAAGCAGCACAAACCACCCCCAGGACCCTCCCTCCCACCACCCTGCCCCATTTTTACCCCCCAGAGTCCCCTCCTGGATTTTTCCTCCAAGCTTGTGTGACCCCCCCTCCCAAACTGCTGGAGGACCGGAGGCTCCGGCAGCACCCGAGTCCCTGAGCAGCAGCAGCGGAGCAGGGGGGGATTTGGGGGTGCAGGGAGAAGGTCAGAAGGGCTGTATCCCCTTCTCTGAGCTCCCTGGGGCTGTGGGGTGAGGTCAGAGACAGCACCAGAGCCACATCCAGCCCTCCCCTGCAGGAATCCCATCCATCCCATCCATCCCATCCCATCCATCCCATCCTATCCCGACTCACCGCCCGTCGCTATCGTGACCTGCCGCAGGAGGTGTCCGTAGAAGGGGAAGTCAAAGGAGAGGATGATCCTCTGCAGGAGGGAGGTGAGGTGAGGTGAGAACCACGCTCAGCCCTCGGGAAAACGCCCAAGGGAATGTGGAGGGGACTGGTCCATGCCCTGGATGATGCTTGGAGGGTGGGAGGAGAGGGACGGGAGCGGGGTCCTGTGGGTGCTCATCCCCTTCACCCCCGGAGCGAGCGGGGGGGACCCAAACACTTCCCACATCCTGGGATGTGGAAGGGATTCCCAGGACACCCCTGCTGGGAGAGGGGACGTGGGGACAGGGCCGCTCACCGAGGCCTGGCGGTGGGTGTTGGAGAGGATCCCGTGGATCTTCACTTGGCTCCCGTTGGCCGCTGCCATGTCCACCCACAGCCCCTTCCTCTGGGCCTCCCCGGGGCCGAACACCCGCGACACGTAGTAGCTGTGGTTGTCCTCCTGCAGAGAAAATGTGGGATTACCTGGATTGCATGCAGGGATGTGAACCCCTGAGCAGCTGGGATGTGTGTTCCAAAGCAGCTGGATATAAATCCAGCCTGGAAAACCCCGGGCGCAGCCAGCGGGGGATGCTGAGCAGCTGGAGGAGAAGGTGCAGGGAATCCCACGGGATACTGGGCTGGGCAGAGCCAGGGGTGACTCACGAGACAAGAGAGCTCGGCACAGCACGGGCAACATTCCCGGGAAGGAAAATATCCCGCCCCAGAGCCAGGGGCTGGGAGCTGAGGCTGAAGTGACCACGGCAAGCGGAGCAAACAACCAGAGCCGTGGAAGCCCAGAGGAAATGATGAACCTTGGAACAAGCAGCTCTGGGAAAGAGGCCCAGATGCTGCTGCCAGCAGGGAGGGAGGATGAGGATGAGGATGAGGATGAGGATGAGGATGAGGATGAGGATGAGGATGAGGATGAGGGGCACGGCAGGGGAAGAGGGACATGGGATGTGCTCCGGGGTGACCCCCTGGAGCGTGGAACGGAGGGAGCAGATCCCCCCTGTTCTCACCCAGAGCAACGAGAGGCACCCTGGGGTCCCCCTAAAGGCATCAGCAGCACCCCTGGGCCCCCCAAGTCCCCTCTCCCAGGCAAACCAGAGCCTGGACCAGGTGCCAGCTCTGCCACGAGTCACCTCAGACTGGCCAGGGACACGGGCAGAACAGTGTCACCAGCAGGAACAGACGGACAGACGGACGCCATCTGGGAGCCATCGCCTGTCAGGGGAGGCCGGTTCACACCGAGGTGGGGGGGAGGACGGGAAGCATCTTAATTTTCCCTGGGAAAGCGTTGCTCCAGCGCTCCGTGCCAGCAGCTGGCACGATGCCACGCTGGCCGCTCGGCCCCATCTGCTGCTCGGCCCCCTCCGACCCCCAAAGCCCCCTCTGACCCCCCCAAAACCCCCTCTGACCCCGGGACCTGCTTCCAGCCCCACTCCCTGCACGTGACCCCGGGTGCTGGAGGCAGGGGAGGAGCCCCTCAGCTGGAATAAAGCACTGTTAGAAAAAAAATCCTGTAACTTGTGGTTTTTTCCCGCTTCCCCAAAGCTCAGGGAGAGTCGCTGCACTCCTCAGCCTTTCCCGGCTCTTCCCCACGGGAATTCCAGCCCCTGTTTGCTCCGAGGGGCTGACGCATCCCAGTCCCTATGGATGGGGAAACTGAGGCTGTGCTGGCACCTGCTGCATCCCGGCACACACCTGCCCATGGAAAACCCCTGGGATGCGGGATGCAGGGTGACAAAGGAGAAAACCTCCCGTGTCCTCGTGTCCCCCACTGTGCCTTCCCAAAGTGCTCCAAATAATCCAGGGGGGAGCAAGCAGGGCTGGAGCACGGAGGATCCGGCTCCTGACCTCATCACTGACTCACCGGGATGTTCTAATCCGTCACCTTGACTGGGTTACAGCAGGAATTAGGAGAGGAGAGGTTTGGGACGCAGGGATAAGTGGGGCAGAGCTCGGGGAGGGAGGAGACCTCCGTTCTTTGGGACCAGCGCTGCCTCTCTGCACCCCTAACCTGGAATATTTTGGGAGGAGAGAGGGGAAAATCCCTCTGGACCCTGCACTGGAACCTCCCAAGGTGGGATCCCACCTTCTGCAGGCGGGATGGGGTGAGATGCACCTGCGACCTCGCCCACGGCCCCACTCCTGGAGCAGATCCCAAAGCCTCAGGAAATCACTGCCTTTCCCTCCCGGGAACCACAGGCACCGTCACACCCTCCCTGCGGCTCCCCCGGCATCTCCAAAGGCCCTGGTGGCCACCAGTGGTTTTGGGCTGGTTTGGGGTATTTTTAAACACTTCCACATCAGGACTGTCCCGGTTCCTGGCCCTTCTTCATCCCGGGTGGATGAGCTGGAGCTGGAGCAGAGCGGAAGCAGCCACGGCTGTTTGTCCCCTGCCTGCTGTGCCTCGGGGCCACCAAAAACACCGGGACAAGTCACCCTCCACCAAAACCCAGCCACCCACATATCCCCCCCCATCCCCAGAGCTCAGGAAACTCCTCTGGCTGCCGAGGGACACGCGGCCCTACCACAAATAACCGGGAGCTAATTGAGGGCGGGTAATTAGGCACAGCAGGGGAAGGAAGGTGTCCCAGGAGGTGACACTGCTGCTGCTCAACTCGTTAGTGGTGACACAGGGACAGAGATCACCCCCTCCCACACAGCCCCCTCACTCTCTCTTGGCCCCAATAAGGTTATTGGGGGACAGTGGCATCCTACTCGTGGCACCCACAAACAAAGCATCCCGGGATTTCCAGCCCAGGGATGGCCCTGGGACCTGGCAGGGCTGTGGAGGCTGCAGGGCTGGGAGCAATCCCAGGGCACTGGGTTGTAATTATCCTCTGGGATGTGGGATCCAGCTCCCTGCCCAGCCCGGGAATAGCTCCCGTGGTTGGGAACAGCTCCCGTGGTTGGGAACAGCTCTCCTGGTCAGGCACTGGGTGGGGGGCACAGGGGGGACCCCCACTCACCACGATCCGGGTCTCGTTGGCCGGCAGGGTGTCGATGGCCAGGCTGCCCCCGCCCAGGTCGTGGCTGATCCGGGTCCCCTCGGACGCATCCCGAGTTCTCCGTCGCCCTTCGCCCACCTCCGGGCTCCCGGGGGGGCGTCCTGGGGGGGGCACAGGGAGGGGTCAGGGGGGTACCATGCCACCCCCGGGACCAGCCCTGTCCCCCAGCAACGCTCTTGGTTATGTGACACGAGTTTGGGAGGGGGTCTCAGCCTCGATCAGCAGCATCACCGCGAGGATGGACACACAGGGCAGGGTGTCTCTGAGGTGGGGCCAGGTGACAGTGACCCCAGCCAGGGGAGGAGAGCGGGGATGGAGGGCAATGAGGAGGCAGAACACCTCCAAATGGCAGCCCCTGCACACGCCAGCGTGACCCCGGGGAGGGGGAAGCTGCACGAGCGTGGCCGTGTCCTCGATGTCCCCC